GTGTCGGATTTGTTGTTCGCCCCAGTTGCACGAGTTGATGAGGCGCGTCTCCGTGCTCGCAGCATCAGGAGGACGGCGGTAGGTGGGTCCAGGGATTGATGGTCGCCTGGCCCCAAACCGCATTCGTGTTGCCGGCTGTAGCATTTTGTCACGGGTGTGGCGTCTGGGCTGCCATTCGGGGCGGTGGTGCAACCCTGCCCGTCGCTGTGGCCGGCGTTTCGAGTTTTGTTGTCTCGGAATTCGTTTATTGGTTCGCATTCTTTGGAAGGCTGGCAGAAGCCTAGGATGAGCAGGGTCAGTCGCTGGGCGTGTCTCCCAGGAAATGTGATGACAAAATGCAAAGGAGGCGCCTCCCAGGAAGGCGCTGTGCCCCAATCGCAGGGTGGAGGGCCTGCCCCAGAACGGCAGTCAATCGGACTGACAAGAGTTGTTGTTGGGCTCGGCGACGCCCCACAGCTGGAAGGTCCTGTGCGAAACTCACTCGTTGATGTAAAGGAGGTTTTGGGCATTTGCTCATATTGCGGATTGTGTAGGACGTCGGGTGTGCTCGGCATGGAGTACTCAACCCCCATTTCGATGCTGTTTTCACACGCATGGTAGTGCACACCAGCGTAGGGCTATTCTGCTTCAATGTACTGCGGTGAACCCTGCGTGCTGTTTCTTGGGTTCGATACATAAATCATGGACGCTGCTTTCTCGGGCAAACCAACGAGCTACCGGCTATCTCCTTGCCTTGATGTGCAATAAATGTTCCTCAACAAATGAGCTATGATGAACCTGATTCTTTGCGAGCTGCTGAGAGGATTGTGACGGCAAGGGGTGCCGTCACGCCACCCACACTACAGGGCCACAGCGCCCTTTTCATCAGCCGGGGCTGCATATCTAGGCAAGGAGCCAGCAACGCCCAACGCACTTTGGGGCAGCCTTGGTTGCCATTTCAAGGCGCTTCGTAATTCATCATCACTTTTACAGAACAAGGCAATGAGGTAGCCGTCATCACCCCATTCTGCCCGAGCAAAGCAGTGTCTGTGATCAGTCCGCTGAAACCAAATGCTGAACACAAACAAAGTCTATGGACCTTTCGTGATTCAGAGCTGGACAAACCAGCCAAGCACTTTGCCCCCCTCTTGGCGCCCTCCTCGCGCCCCGCGATGTCAAAACTGCGTTGGCTCGCCTGCGCGGCTGCTCTCCTTTTTTGCTCCCGCACATCCCCAAGCAAAGGGTTGACTGTGGCTGACTCGGTCAAGGGCGAAGACGCGTTCGCCGACTTGGCCAGCGCCCCGGACTGGGCGGTGTACATTTTCGACGCAGCGGACAAGGAGGCGCGCGACGAAGTGAGGGCCAGAATGGAGGCGGAGTTTGAGGGCCGCATGGAAGACTTCAGGTGAGTGGTTCAATCGACGAATCTTGTAAAGGGAAGGCACTATGTCGAAAGTGGTACGCTTAGCGTCAATTTGACGTTAAGGGGAGGGGGGGGGAACGCTAAGAGATTATGTAATTGACATAATTGCGACATAAGGTCTGAAGATGTACAAAACGCTGTTGATCCAAGGCAGACGGCTCATGACTTGTTTCAAACCCCCCTTCAAGGGTTCAAACTTAAATGAAGACATCAGAATACCCCAAATAGGCAGCCATCGGGGCTGCCACAATCACCTGGCAGTTATCATCGCGTTTTTCAGCGCATTACAATTGCTTCAGTTTTGGCAGCTTATGTTCCTTTAAAACACCTTGAAATTGTCTAGCTCTGTTATGTAAGGGTGCGGAGTCTTCCTGGCATTGACATGAGGATTGACGCTGTATGTGTGTGTGCGTGGGTGGCGTGTGGGGTGGGGGGGTGGGGGGAGGGGGGCGGGGGGCGCGGGTATCTGGGCTTAACGTCAAATTGACGCTGAGCGTACCCAAATCGACATAGCGCCTTCCCTTAATATAGGCGGGGAGGCAGCCGCTCGTTCCTTATCATTACGGGGTGGATTCCTGCAGATCAGGCAAGTATGTGGTATGATATAATGAGGTATATACAAACAATGAGGAAACAGGTCGTGCTGCATTCCGGCCTAGCTTGTTCGTTGTTTATATACAAGCCAACATCATTAAAATTGACCAGTAGATGACATTTCGGAGGAAGTGATAGATCAATGTGGGCGAAAATAACGTGACTTTTGCAACCAGACAAGTGCATAATCAACGGTCGAGTGAACAAGTGCGGGAAATGGCGACGTGAACATACAAAACACTGATCAGTTAGCATGTCGCTGCTGACCTCGCATCGTCAGACAGCGTCAGGCTTCTATCGACCAACACATGATCTCACAATGCACGGCAAAAAAGAGATGCGTCAAATTCAGGAAGGGGTCTCAGTAGAGTTGCTGTTTTCATGCAGAGTGCACATGTGCCACATGACGCAAGCATGGAAGTTGGTCAGCCGACAGCCAGGCACGTGCGTGCATCGTAGAAACCTACAATCTCAGTGTTGAAGAATTGTCATGTGCTTGCAACCGGCTGCGTACACTTTTTCTTTTCCAGATCGGCCAGGTCATACTCCACTTTCCCATTCTTTTCGGCGGCCATGTCAAAGAAGGCGCTCGCTTGGGTGCTAGACCAGCCGGACCTCAAGGCCAAGCTCAGAGCGGTGGAACTGGACGCCGTCGTGGGCATTGACGTGTAGGGGCAGAGGCACGCTCCCGCTGTGTCGTATGCTGAAAACGCACGCGGAAGGTGGGGCTTGTTCTCCGGCGTTAGGTGGTGTGGGATTGGCGGCACATGAAAGGCGCTCACCAAGGGGGCTGCGGTCACTTGTTGGGAAAACTTCTTAAGAGCTGCAACGCCGCGCTGCTATGCTACCCCAAAGGGGTAACGGAGACAAAGGGAATCCAGTAGTGCAGCCGTAGAATTATGGCTAGGCACCTGTAAGACAGCAAGGGAGTCCCTGTGGCGGCTGATTGGAACTTCCCGAATTGCGATGACAATGTGACACAAAAAGGTGACGTCAATTCGATGGCCGTGCATTCGCCCATATGCGATCTGCGCGGATGGCGGCCTGTCAAATGGAAACGGCTAGGGCCCGGTCAGCAGCGCTACGAGATACTTAGGCTGAAATCGTTTGCTTAGAATTGCATTGAAAGACAAATTTGTCTTTCAATTATCTCCCGCCAGCAAGTGTATCTCCCGCCAGCAAGTTCGTGGGCATGACCATTTCTGCCTAGTTCTCTTCAAAGACAACTAGGCAGAGATGGGCGTGCCCACGAACTTGCTGGTGGGAGATACCAGTAAACCTTGAGAAAGTTTATTCGGGAGGAACTCAGCCGTGCAGTAGAAATGTGGATACTGGGGGAGCTTCAGGTTGCATAGGGGGGTCTAGTGGCCGGTGTATGCAGGCAATCAAGGACAGATGCCAGTTGGAGTATGCCGACACACCCAGATCTGGATGGGCTGCAGAGCTGATAGTGTTGCCGTCGTGCTAATTGTCCATAGTTGGAGAGGAAGTCCAAGCCAAGAAGAATTGTGATTTGGGCAATATTGCTTCGAAGCGGGAGCGGAACCAAAGACACTTACAGATATTATGGATCTATATCTCTGCTCTAGCTGCGTTCTTCTGTCATCTGCTGCCAACAGGGGTATTGCCATGATATTCATGTTGGTCACCATCATTGCGGAACATAGCTCCGACTGTACATCAGAACAAACTCTTTCTACGAGGCTCTCGTGGCATGAATTTGTGCAACTTCGCCCCGCCATACTTGAGCCACTTCCGTCTCGGTGCGCGGCCACGGTAATTGTCAACGTGCCTCGTTTTCCTTCCAGTTCGCGCCCACCGAAACCTGCGGTACTTCCTGCCTGAAGGGCGTTCACAGATTCACTCCCAACCGGGGAAATCGAACCATCCGACGCCACCCTGGATCGGCACAAAGACCTCCCGGACGCATCTTCGGCCAAAGTTCCGTCTGGTTGCAGATGTCCCATGCAACTCGACCAACAGGACGCCAATAAGGGACTGTTGCAACCGCTCTTGGCAGCTCTCCATGCGAATCGTAGGCGCGACTTCTCCCTGGCGTCCCAGCGCATCAGCGATCGATCTGCACCGACGCCCACGCGAGTCTTCAGCCTACCTCCCCCAAATTCGGGGTGTCCGCCCAGCAGCGCCGCTACCTCAGCCCGCCCACAGCGCCGCCCCTCGCCGAGGGTTTCCTCTGCCCACGGCTCGCCCCCTGCGCCTGCGGCCTCTTCTCCCAGCTGCTCTGGTTGGCTACGCTCTTCACGTTTCGCGGTATGCCCGACGCCTCCACCTTGGCGTCTAGCCTCATGCGCCTCACCCGCTTCCTGGCCAGCATGCCACGGGTGTGCGCCTGTATGCTCGTCGCCGCTGCGTCTTTCAAATTCCTTGGCGAGGCGCCGTCGGCTGCAAGGACCTGGGGCTCCTCGCGGCTGGGTCCCGGTATGTCGATCTCGACTGATCCCCCGTGAAAGAGCACTACAGGCGGGCCCTCGGACGCCTCCTCCTTCTTCAACCTCCTCCGTGTGGCGTGTCCCCGGTACGTAGCCTGGATTCGGGTGGCCGCCGCCACCTCCCGGGCTGCGGGCGGCTTGCGTGACGCCAGATAACTATTTCCCACCGCGCCGGGACTCGCTGCCGTTCTGGCTCGCGCGTTTTGGCTGGCACCGGCTCCTAGGCTCCCACCACGAAGGGGCGCACGCTTGCTGGGCTCTGGCGGCGGCTGTCCGTCGCTGTACACGATGCACAGCATGACGTGGACTCGGTCACCCTCTCCACCCCCGGCCGACGTTCCCTCCCTCGCTCCGTCCCCGCTGGTGGCCCGGCCGTCCGCGGAATCCTCCCCGACAGTTGCTGCGGCCAGACTGGGTCCAGGCACGTGCACCACGCCCCCTGGCCCCCGCCCCCCAGCCTCCCCCGCGCCGCCCCTCCCCCCGCCCCGCCCCCTCCTTGGCGCCTCCTGCCACCGCCTCAGCTTCTTGTTCTCCACGACCTGCGCCCTCAGGGCCAGGTCCTTGGCCCCCAGCTCGGCCCTTAGGGCCTCCGCCTGCCGCCTGAGCGCCGCCTTCTCCCGGCTGTTGCCCGCCAGGGCCCGCTCGAAACTCTTCTTGTCCGTCTCCACCTTCTTGCTCAGCACCCCCACGCGGTGCTCCAGCCCTCTTGCCTCAGCCCTGGACGCCTCCAGCTGCGCCCCCAACTCCCTGTCCCTGGCCGCCTGGGCGGGAGTCACCGCACAGACGGCCAGCTCCTCCCTCAGGGCCCTCACCTCCTCCCCAAGGCGATCCACCTGCCTGCCAAGCGCGGCGGCCTCCCGCTCAGAAGTCTGCGCGAGCCGCTTGTACTTCTTCACCCTCTCCGCCATCACCCTGTTGTCCTCCACGAGCGCCCGAATCCTTGGCGGCAGGTCTCCCTTTTGCATGGCGGCAAAGTCGTCTCCTCTGGGCACCCCCCCATTTCCACGAGCCTGGCAGCAAAGCGCGCGCTCCAAACCCCTTTTCTCCTCCTTGAGCTTCTCCACCTCCATTTTGCGGGACGCCGCCAGCCTCTCCACGCCCGTCAGGTAGTCGTGCAACTCGTGGATGAGCCCAAGGGACCGCACGGTGGGCATGTGGGCGGAACTCCCTCGCTGTCCATCTCCCCGCGACGAACGCAGAGGAGACCTGGACAGCGAATCGGCCACGCTGGAGCACTCCGGCGTCCTGCCGGCCCGGCGCCCCTTGGCGACGTCGCCGGCCTTCCTGTCATAGTCGTCGGCGCCCATTGACCCAGTCGTCGCTTCGCGCCGCCTCCCCCCGCGTCCCAACTACGGACACACCCCACGGGGGACAGTTCGTCGCGAGCTCTACTCTCGTCTGCCCCTCTTCGACCTTTTCGACCACATTAGCGACATCTCCAATGGGGTGGGAATCCTCAGCCGGACGTCACTGGACAGCCCTTTGCGACGTCTGTCCCCTGTATTCCCTGTTGTCCCGGAAGGGGAGTTCGCTGTCCCAGCGGAAGAGGTTTCAGGGGAGCAGTTGGTCGCGGCGGCGCACCACTGGTCCGTCGAACGCCGAGAGCGCTCGAAGCAAACGGGGTCCGTCTCCTCCTTGTCTTCCGGCCTCCTGCTGCCGTCGTCGCGTCGGGGAAGGGAATTCGGGGGTTTGGCGGAGGGAAGGGCCTGGATGGTCGGGAGAATCGCCGCGGGCTGCCCAACGCCGCCCTCATGTGGAAGCGGCTTCGCAGATGCCCAACGCCGGCCGCCCCAACCGCTAAAGATCGCCGCTGCGATTTACCGCGGAAAACTGGAGGCGGAGAAATAGGTCGAAAACTTGTGTTTCCCGATTACCTCGTTGTGCACTATAAACTGGAAACAGGAAATGCGTATCAGGAAACAATTTTGTTTGTTGATTTTTTAATCGATTGGCGAATTTTGACTCCGAAGCCGTGGCTCAGAGTCAAGGTGGAGTGAAGTGGACGACGAGGCGCTCTGAATCCGACAGTACTACAACAGCGGCGTTCTTGTGATGGCCTTTACTACTGAGCACTGATCCAAACACGATATACTCCGATATCATCCTTTTCAAAACATTGCATTACGCTAGTATCTTTTATTAATGTGTTGACTTGCTACTTTCGATATTGCGTGCAAACTCACTACCTCAATTGCTCAAAGTGGAATTGAAATTTGGTTTGGTACGAGCAGGACCGATGCGCGTTTGGTGTTATACACATTTTATAGCAACTGTGGCGTTGGAACAACAGCTCCGAAATTTCTTTCGTTTATGACTGCTACGTGCTTTTGATTCCCAAACGTGAACCAATAGAAACATGGCGCTGTTTGGCGATGGGGTGGTCTGGGTGGTCCATTATATTTCACTTTGTAGGCAATTTCATTCACTGAATGATCGAAAGTGAAATAGAAAACACACCTGAAGTTGTAGGATGAGCCTAATCAATTGCTCCAGGTACCCCTGGATATTTGGTAAGATGGCAGTTTACTAGATGTTTTATCAGAAATTATCAAAAGCATAATTCTGGTGTCTGGACGTGTTGCTAGAGTTTTCTGCCCAATTGCCTGGTGTTCTTTTCTAGTTCGCGATTCTCAACATCCCCTTCATCAGGAGCATCATGGCCTACCAGCCCTAATAGCATCCAATAAAATATGGGGCACAGTCCAACGTGCACCCTGGGAAATATGCAGAGCAGAAGTCAGGCACACCACGTTCCATTTGCGCCAGGTTGATCAAGCGTCCCATCCTTGATAAATGCGGTTTTGTGATGTGGTGCCAAAGTGGACCATGGTCTCTGATGCGCACAAGCTGGGCACACAGTAGACATCACTGCACTACCAAACATGTGATGTTCTTCTGAGGTCTCAACATTGTAGCACAGTTTTGACAGGCACCAGTGAATGAAGAAGGCAGCATCCTTTCTCAGAAAATCCTGGGAATGAAAAACCTGACGACCAACAAGGAAACCTGTTGCTGTGCCCCATTCTAATCATTAGCATGCAACACGCATACAACACGGTGGGATTAGGCATTCGACAGCATTGAGACATGGTGCATACGCATTGCATGCACAAGTTCGCACCGCAGTGCACCTGAGCTTCCAAATCAAAATGCATACGAAACAGTGCAATATACTGTACTGCACTATTTTGTACGCATGTTCCTATCTAGTGCACTGCATAATTGCAGCCTGACGTGCAGAGGTGACCGCCACCACCGTCGCTCTCACACTAAATAGCGAATGATGCAACAGGGACGCGCTCGTTCCCCGTAGTGCCACATCGCAACAGCGGTTGTCATATCTGTTCCATTGCGTGATCGCAACCATCGAATCAGCTGTCGCAGGAGGTGGCTACTCGCGGTAGAGGCCATTTCTAGTACATTGACTCACTATTCCAAGCTGCAATGCCACCGCTGCATGGGTAGCCGACGCACAGAGCGATGGCATGGCATTCATTCTTGTTGATGCACAATCACAGAGATGGCACATAAAGGAAACCAGCGCGGACATGATGGGTGACTGCAATATCTACCTTCTCAACAAATGATATATTGGTGCTTGGTCATAAGTCGATGAATTACACTGTTGGCAGTTGCCAAAGCTCCACGTTCAAGGGTGGTCTGTGTACATATCACCACGCTGCCCCAATGAAAAGCTAGAAACCAAATGGACAAGCTGTCTCCCCATTCGTCGACCAATAGCACTAAACAATGCACAATGAGTCATGCCAGCATGCCAAGGTGCTTTTCACAATATTTACCCAGCTGATGGTGTGGTGGGCCCTCCATATCTGAGTTTCAGAAAACTCCCCCTCATTTCAAAAGGGATGCCATCACACTCTGTCAAGAACACCTCCTGCAGTTTGGTCAAGCTGCTCAGATGGGACAGGCCATTATCCGTGATTTGGCGCAGCCCGCTCAGGTTTAGGCTGCTTAGGCACACTAAGTTTCCAACATGGATCAAGCCATCATCCGTGATCCTGTCGCATTCGCACAAACACAAAGACTCCAGCATTGACAGCCTCCCAACACACTCCAAGCCCGCATCTGACACTTTCCCACACCCGTACAAATCCAGGTGAACGAGACTGTCCATCTCCCTGATATGTTGCAATCCTTCATCAGTGATATCCGTGCATCCGTCCAAATTCAACGAGGTGAGACTGCTCAATTGCGCTATGGTTGCCATTCCTACATCCGTAATTCTGTTGCAGTTCCTGATGCTCAAATCGGTGAGGGCCACTAATCTTGCCACGTGTTCCAGCCCCTTGCTGGATACTAGATGGCAGCCTCGCAAATTAAGGAATTGAAGAGAGGTCAGCCTGTCCAGATGCTCCAAACCCTTGTCAGTGATTGAACTGACAAAAAAATCGAAAAGTGTGTCCTCTGCAGATATGTCCAGATGTGTGAGAGATGTCAACTTCCCCAAATGCTCCATGCCCGTGTCGGTTACTCTGAGACAATTGCAAAGGCTCAAGTAGTGGAGGCCTGTCATCCTGCCAACAATTGCCAGGCTTGCATCTGAGACTGTTTCACGACCTGTCAGATTTAAATGCTCAAGAGCTGTCAATCCCTTCAGAGGCTCGACAGCCTCATTGATGGTGTCAATCTGCCAACGACAAGAAATGTCCAAGTACCTGAGTGCTGTGAACTCTGCAATGCATGCCAAGTCCTGGTCCACAAGTACAGAGTCACCCAAATCCAGATGCGCCAAGTGATGAAGGCCCTTCAGGGCTTCCCAGCAGTTTGCAACATTCCCTCCACACTTTTGTAAATTCAACCCCTGAATCGCTGTGAACTTTGTGCAAATGACATTGGCCATTTGCTGCCATTGTGGGTCCTCCTCGCAGGGTTTCTGTGGACTTATGAACACAATGGCTCCATTTGCCCACTGGCTCCAGTGTGTATTCACCAGCCGAGCCAACTTCACTATTGTGGTTGGCCCATCTGTGTTCTTTTCCTGCATTCTTTTCAGAGCATCAAGAACTGGAAAGGGGATTCGTCCCCAGTCGGAAGCTGGCTCTCTAGCCTGCCACCCACACACACTGGAAAATCATCCAGGCAGAAAATGATGCAAATGGTGCACATACCAAAGCGCCACACACCAAAGCGCTGCTGTTGGCATAGACAAAGCCTGCACCTTCATCCATCAACGTGCTGTTCTGCTTGGAACAGTGTCCAAGAGTACCTTGAGGAGCTAATTCTTTGTTGCCAAGTTCACAGGTCACCTTAAGAAGAAGTGCAGCAAAGGTATTCACTCCCTGTGCAGGGTACCTTGGATCTGATGAAATCGGTGATGCTGCATAACTTCACCAGTGCAACATTTAGTGGTGCAAGCCAATATTCCATGGCACGTTCTTCAAGAACAGCTGTACCGCTCATTGCATGGGCCGCATGCAAGCAAATGTACTTCTATGTGATGCACTTGCGATGGACCTTTGATTTGGTCCACATCGAATTCCAGCAGTTCAGTCAAAATGTTTGCAGATGTAGTCGGGCCATGCCGCGGGCCATGCAAAAGCCAGCCTGATGTCATCCCACCAACCTGTTGCACTACATTCTCTGCCATGACCAAGTTGCCACCTGCAAAGCCGAGCAACCACATCACTGTTAGCTGCCCCGCCAAATAAATGCCCATCCAAAAGCAGGCAGTATTGATGGAATGATGTAACAGAAGAAACCAATCTGGACCCATATACATATCGTGCACATCCATACCTCTCCCAAAAATGCAACATTTCAAATACTGCCACACAGTAGCAGAAGAACAGATTCATGGGCTCAATTCGATGGAGTCATCAATGCATGCATATTTTTCAAACACTGAACTTCCTGGCAGCCACCCTGGAGCCAAGGCCCAGCAATATATGTTGGGCCTGTGTGTGTGCTTGCTGGCAGAATGCAGACACAACTGTGCAGCAACATTGCCGTACAGAGTTTCCTCAACTTGATTTGAGTGCATCCTGGCTGCCTTTGGAAACAGCATCGGAATCCACACTGTTGACCGTGAAATATCAATGGGCTCACAGTCCTTCAGGCAAAATGCCAGGAGAGGGATCCTCTCTTGAACATACAGCTTGGTGGGGAGTAACAGTTTTGAGGGTCTTGGAGTGAATGCTGCCACCATTCCAACCACTGCTTCCAGGTCACAGGCTGGTTCACGAATGCAGAGTGAGATACTATCCCATGGAATGTATGTAAGACTCCCCCCGCCCCTTCGCCCCGACGCTTAGTTTTTCTCTCCGAGGCCTTTCCCTGCATAAGCCAATCTCCAAACAAACCTCCGCTTGTCTGAATTGGCTCCAAACAGTGCTTCACCTGATCGAAGCTTCGCCTGCATCACTGTTTGACAACAAATGCGCCTCGTCGCCCCCTGTCGCGCCGTTCCCATCTTTCAACGATGGAGGCCCCCAGAGTGAACTTTTCCAAGGTGGGAGACGCCGCGACGTTGCCATCCCAAACGTGGCAGCCACGTCAGATTGCCGCCAGGGTCATGCGGAGCTGCCGTGGAGGCAGATGGACGCCCGCTATGCGTGGCGCATTGTAAAGTCGCGCCGGGCAGACACGTGGAGAGAGGACGGCGATCCCGACACCTCGCAGCAGCTCTGCTTCCTGCCTGCCCAATGTGCAGATCGCGTCCGGCCGGGCACAAATGCTTCATAGGACACCCACTCCATACAGCAAAGCCATAGCGGCTCGCAGCAGTGCCAGCTTCACTGCTCCCACGGGCCAGTGGGGTCCCCTTGTGCAGCCTTCCCTGAAGCAGCGGCTGGGGTTGGTTTCCCAAGCTGCTGGGGTTCGGTGGCCGAAGTCGCCAGTCCTTAAACCCCAACCCACACCAAGCCGCCCGCTCGGCGCTATCATCAGGAAAAGAGGGTGCACAGGAGGGTATCGCGGCGCCTCGCACCTTATGCTGCCTTTGCTTTCCCTGGCGCCTTCCACGCACTGCTGCGGTCCACAGCACTGTCGAGCCACCGAAGTTCGGATGCTGCGTTTCAAACCCACAGATGGCTGGGTGGATTGTGCCCAGAGGCCACAGCACTGCATTAAAAAATACTAATACTAGTACTTAAAAAGTACGTCGCTGGTGTGGCGGAAACACACGTACCTTAGCCGCGGCAGACGATGCAGACCAAGCCTGCCCTGCTGCAGAGTCGTAAATGCCAGACCAGCCGTCACACTAGGCTGATGGGCGTCGAATGCGGTCCCGATCTTCGCGAGACACCTTCCCAGACAGGCGAAACGGGTTGCGGCACTTCACCGTTCGAGGAAAAGTTCGGAAAACAAACACATGCGCAGCAGCGTTGGTGGGCCCGGAAAGAGTTGTTACAAGAATGTTTGTACCACGAGTACTTGTACTCCGAAAAGGTGTCCCAGTCCCCGGTGCTAGCCACCTCTCGAGAAGCCTCCAAACTTACAATCCCCGTACAGAACCACCTGAGCTTGTCCCCAAGCGGCTCAGGTTCTCCAACACTTGTCCCCACCATGGTACAACCCATCATGCACTCCATATAGACGGCTCAATTTCAGTGGCCAGCAAGCAATTCTCGTCCCTAGCAAACACGTTCAGTCCCAAGTACGTCCCTCCATAATGATCCAGTAACCAAATGAACCAAACCCGTAAAATATGATGAAGTCAATAACACCCGCCAATACCTTCCTTAGTTCCGGCCTTGGCACTCCATCAGAATGAACGTACGCAAATAAAATAGCTAAGTGATGATGAATTTCCAACTCGCGTCTCCTTTAGTGATGATTCATGTAGCTTAAGACGTCATTCCAGCTCAGCTATCCGTGGCCCAGCTTAAGGCTCCGTTCCAGCTCAGTCACATGTCTGGGGGGTCGTGCATTGGGTCTTACAGCGAGGGTGGCTCTCTCCAGGTGGACTCCTGGTCATTAGGCAGTAGAACAGGACAATCAGCACACCATTAAGTCACTAATTCCGGGCCATGCTCAGTAGCTCAAGTGCGGTTGCAGCCGATCATATCAATCAATTAAACAACTAGTAATACGCAACCTCAAACAGGTCATCTCGGTAGGGGGTATTTAGAAAATCGCCACACTGGCACCTCGCCACATCACAACATCACAAATGAGGCTGCCCTTCCAGCAAAGATGTAGATGGTAAATTGCAAGGGGCCTCACACCAACCCACGACATCCAGATACGGGCAAATAGGGATGACGACATCTCAATCATCACATACCTGGCAGAAAACTCATTGGCGAAGGCGTTATTTGCCATCTTATGAATTCTTGATCACGTGAAGCCACGTTATCCAGTTCTGGTGCGGAAAACACCGCAAAATTCAAAGTTCTTGTAAAAATGCCCTACTCGAAAGGCGACGCTCTCCCTGGCGCTCGCCACTTTGTTGTCACCACGCATGCGTGGAACGTGTCCCACTTGGGGAGAATGGCTTTTCCCTGGCTGCATATGGAACCACCTTTATTCCAATTTTGGGTGTAAATCAGACAGTTTATGCCTGTTGCCATGCTTTCATGACATGGAGAATCGCTGGTGCACACATCTCATGCCTGTAAGTGAGCACAAGGTACCACTTTGGGGTATCGAACTTTGCCCCTTCCCGCACCAAAGCAGGCGGGCAACAACTTTGAAACAGTCTGAAAATCTACGCCACAAAATCTCAAACCTTCTTTCCTGCTCCGTTTCAAGGCTTACTGTGGAGGGCCACATAAAAACTGATGTCCCATGCAGTCGTATTAGCATGCCAGGAATCCAACGCAGCTCTAAATCGCATTTCTTGTGAATTCGCGTTCATGAATAGGCCCAAACATTGGACTTGCATTGATACAAATGCTCTTGATGCAAGCAATTCAACCAAGATATAATGCTCATCAGCTTGCTTCACGACATCAACCTCAGAAACCGATATTCACACCTTGATTTCCCGTTGCGAGACAGGTGTTCATTGTCCTCGCGTGGGCGCTCATTCCCACGAACAGCACCTGAGATGCCTTCCCCGTGTCTCTCCACAGTTGATGTGGGTTTGATCCATTTGCTACACACACACAGCGCATCACTCTGCCTTTCCGGAGCACATCTGAAGAAAGGGCCTGCGGAACGCACTTCAGCGTCAAGAAGCCAAAGTACAAAGCGGCGGCTTTGGAGGCGTTCGATCGGCGAAGGTCGAGACGCGGGCCTGGTGAGACGTCTACTTAGGTCCTCACGGAGATTGTTCGAAAGTCGATGACGGGTTAGTTGGGGTTGAAAAACACGATCTCAAGACGGCACCGCCCACCCACCAAATCACTGCCTCCTTGGCGCTGTTGAGCGCTGGCCGGCGCCCCTGGCTTCCCGCGCACAGACGGATCCCGGATCGATCCGGTATCGAAGCTAAGACCCCGCAGCTCTGCCGTCTTGCGCCGAGCGGCGTATTAGGCAAGCCTTACATGCATGGATCCGTTGGGGTTGGCGAGTGCGACCTTGGGATTACCTCGAGGAGTCGCTGTCAAAGACGGTCAAAGAGGTGATGGCAATTCTTATACCAAAGTTCCAAGCCAGGCTGAGTTGGGTCGAAACTTGGCGCAGCCAGGTCGTTCAGATGGACAGCCACGTCAGGGCGCTTCGAGGCGGACGTTGCGCCTGTTCCAGGTGCTCGAGGTGGCCGCCAGAAGAGTGGGCCCCCTGGCCCACGGATGTGGGACCCTATTCGCCGTGCCGAAAGCGCCAGTCGCACCCCTTCGTTTCTTTCACCTGGTGGACTTGCGCCAGACTGCAATGTGCGTGGGGGGCTGCGGGCCTTGTTGTTGGTGCAAGCGGACGCGTCAGGTTTTGCATTAAGTCAATTTCCACCAGTGTAACAAATGCATATGTGTCGACGCTATTGTTTCGGAGTATGTGGTATCGATTTCGACCCAAAGACAGGACAGTTGACAGGACAGTTTGCTGCATGCAGTAGTGCGGGTGGCGCTACAGGACCCCCAGCTGGGCAGCCACCGCCGTTTGAACGGCATTGGGTGACGGCCGCAATCATTCCCCTTGCAAGAGACGGCCAGCCCCCGCAGAAAATCAGCAAATTGCAATGCCATGCTCCAGGTTGATTGAAAGAGGGATTGCTTGAGGGGAAGTGCATTTTTCTGTCCGTCCTTGCAGAATTGTCCATCAAGTTGTGTTGAGGCGCCGAAGCGTGCATCCGCATGCTTATGCGGCGCTCTGGGCCGAACGCACGAGCTTGGTGCGGTCCACATTGCATTGCGCACCAAGTTCGAGACTCCTCCGAAGGTGGTTTAACGGGCCCCGCTAGCACGTATCTCAGGCGGAATCGGGCATGTATCGAAAATTCCATGCCGGTGGCTTCTTTCAAAAACAAGGGTATCCTTTTGCGTAGTGTCTGGGAGATTTTCCTTTCGTATCAATAGAAAAAAAGGGCCAAATAACACTTTTGCGAACGCACATAAAACACATTTCATCAACGTTCTGCACGCTAAGAACACAAAAATAACACAAACCCGTAAACTTTGTGCACGTTTGAACACGTGTTATTTGACCCTTTTTTCCTAGTTTTTTCCTAGTATATATACTCCCGTTCGTCGTTTTGGGTAGATCTCA